TCTATAAAACTATTCAATGGATTTTGGATTTGACCAAATTAAATGAATTTTGTGGTTTTGCTTAATATTGTATTGTATTTCAATTCTTAAGTTTCATTGCAGCATTGTTCATAAAAATAAGAAACTGGAGTCTATCTATATGTCCAGCAACAAGAGATATATATATGTGATTTTAACACTTTTACAGAAAAAGATTTAAATTCTAACCTATATAGTTTCCATTTGTTCTATATCTAAAACTATTACTCGTTTCTTTTTTGTATTTACTTGACATTCATTTTTAGCATAATTCCCTCATCTGGTTGGTAGAGTTTATTTTTAAACATTTCCTAAAGTTTTTTTTCCTTAAGCATATAGTCAGTGAACACATTTTTAAAAATTATAATTTCACACATATTCCTTAAATATGTTCCTTAAATGGACATGAACCTGTCTGCATATATACAGCCAGGTTTTGGGTCCTGGCTCTGCCACAGTTATTAGTTGTGAAATACTGTGGAAGCCTCTCTGTGCCTCAGTTTCCTCATCTATTAAATGGGGGCGATAGTCCTTACCTCCTATTTTGCTGTGAGAGCTACCTTCGTTCATACACATAAAGCATTTAGACAGTATCTGGTACATACTGAATGCTCAATAATGCGTTAGCTGCTATTGTCATCATCATCATCGTCATCATCATGATTATGATTACAAAGCTTCAGGGAGTAAACTTTGTTCAATCTTCTTTGCCTAACTGCTGTTTTTAAAAAATTTCCTTCCCATATAAGTTTGCTTCATTTTTAGAACCAAGAAACTAAGCAGGCGGTGCTCTTTAACAATGAAACAGGCTCCCTCATGAGGAGTGAGCCGCATTGCGGTTACTCTACTGTGGCTGGAAAGTGGTCTCTGCTGCAAGCGCTGTGGTACTGATTTCTGAGCTGCTGAGAGGGTGAGAGAGAGCTCTCAAAGGTCCCAATTTAATAAATGATTGCACGAATCATTCTGAGGTTCTTTTCAAGCTCCAAGATGCCATGGCTGTGCACCAGGTCACCACGTGCAGTGCTGAGCGGCAGCCCGCCAGGAACCTGCTGCTGCACTCTGAACTGGGGTGGAAACTGATACTTTCACTGAAAAACAGAAATCTTTAATTTCCTCCTGAATTCTGAACAGTGATTTTCCATAGCAGTAAACCAAGTTTGGTGACTCAAGTCTCTCAGCAATTCTAGAGAGGAAGTTGTGAAATTATCGTGTTTGCTGAGAAAGTATTCCAGTTTGCCAAAAGAGGGAGCTTGGGAGCAGAAAGCATGTTTGTCCAAGTCTTTTACAAAACACTTGGTTGGATTCTGTGTTTTAGGTTTTTGTTTCTTTTGCAAGGATGGGATGGGACTAAATGACTGTTACAGCCAACTTTCTCTTCTTAATATTGTCTCAAGACGGGAGAATCAAAGATTGAAAATACACAGATAACTTTGAAAGATCCCTCCCTATCCCTCCCAGACAAAATGCTCTCACCTCATGCCTGGCTGCCATATACAAACAGCTCTAATTAAACTGTTCTCATTGAAAGGAAAGGGAGGAGGAGCTAAGCCAGTGGCTCCTCCTGGCTAGAGAAACAATTACATATTTAATGAAAGTGCCTTAAAAAAAATCTGCTGGCTGCCACGGACTGTTTAAAAAGGAAGGGTTCATTGTATACATAATCTAGATCTTACCTTCACTACAACAACGTATAAGTTATTGAAATAACTTATTTATTAAACCAAATTTAATTTCATTAAACCAAGTTTAATGAAAGTTAATCATCAGGCTGCTTAGTTATCCACGCCCTAGGGCTAAACACTCCTTAATGCCAAACAAGGGGAATGATGTAAGTGCCTAGAACCATGTGTAGAAACAAGTCTTTGATTCATGCTCATTAGTCACTAATGTAAGGAAAATGCCTGCATATGACCTGGAGGTTTCTAGAAGACACACATCTCCTCCATACGAAGTCATTTCAACACAAACTTGATTTTGCCTTTGTAAAGGCAGCTTTGGCAAGGTATCCATTGCTGTGTATTTTCAAATTCAATTCAAGAATTCAGCAAATTTATACATTTTTAGTTGGAGCAACATATTCAGGTTCTTATTTTACTCCAATTACCAAAAGCGCTCTGCACCATGTTAGCCTAAAACTTTTAAGAAATAATCATACTTGGAAAATCACAGAGCTTAAAGTCTTCCAGAAAATTTATATATGTTCTATTAAACTCATAAGGCAGAATAATACATTTGGATTTAATACTAATGAAATGGCTTCTTTTATTATTGCTGCCCGCGGAAATAAAGCAAAATGATAGAAAGTATTAATCTAAAGAGGAAAGTTACATGTTTTGTAATTTCCTAAGATCTGGTTTGAGTTCCACAGGCCTTTGAACAAAGCTCTCAGACCATTCTGGTACACTCCCTGGACCCGGAAAAGACATGATCTTGTATTCAATTGTTAATAGACTTATAACAGCAAAGACATTATCCTATTGTAAGATTGTTCTTAAAGGACAACCTTTAAAGTTGGATTATTTCCTGAACTAATACAGAAAGCAAGATAAGCGGTGGCTTTTTGGAATTTACAGTTTATCCAGTCAGTTCCACGCAACAGCTGGCAGCACCGAGTCCTAGGAGGAGCAAATCCATGAACGCAAAAGCAGATTTCACAGGCTACATTTTTCTCCTTTATTTGGGCCATCATGTGGAAGACAGATTATTTTCCAAAACGATTAAGTACTCTCATCAATTAGCCAGCTAGAGTATCAGTCCTGAAGGAAAAACGCTAATAAGCTCTTCTGTAAGTGCCCGCTGTCAAAAACTGTCAGAGTTAGTCAAAGCTTTTTAATGTTCCGATCAAATCACAAAATGAGTGGAAAGTCACTGTATAAAACCCATTAAGATGCATTACTAAGTGTCCAATGTTACATAAAAACTATAAATAGCTTTGTACTTTTAGGGTTTTTTTTCCCCCAATTTGCTTTTCTTGAAGTAATAATGATGTTCTGCTTCAGTTAATAAAGTAATTTTGGAGCTGCCTTAGTGTTTAATCCACATACTCTTTCTGTGTGGAATAAGATGGCAAGCAATAATCATATCAGAATTAAAAGCATTCCTTGGAGTATCTGTCATTAACAATTTTAAAAATTAAGGGAAGAGCACCAAAGATAGTAAAGGCTAAAAAATTAATCATCAAGCTTAATAATCTTACAAGCTGACTTTCCTTAGGGGAATAAAATGCTGTTTCCGTGAAGGACATCTAGTCTTCAAATATTTGCAAAGGAATTCATATTCTGGTTAAAGGAACATCACTTGCCACGGGCTTAAAAATAACAAGCCAGTAGCCAATACTGAACAAATACATCTACCACAATGTTCAGAAACTGACTTAATTGAATTAAGAAAGGTTTGTTTCCACACTGAAACATAGCCTTTCCTCTTTTAGCATCCAGTGGATCAAGTTGTTGATTTAAAGGCACAAATGGTAGCTGGTATTCTGGTAGCTGCTACTTGCCCAAATGAGAGGCTAAAGTAAGCTGAGGACCATATTCAAACCACATAAAACATTAAAATTCTTCTTTTTTTCCTTGAAATTTGTTAAAAGAAGTTTGTTTCCACACTTTCTTGGTAAGTTTTTCCTTGCTCTGAGGGATCCCATCTCTTCTTGCGATAATTCCCAGAGTTACCAATAATCTCTGTGCTAGTACATTTCTCTGATAACCAGGAGCTTTCAAACAAAAAGTAAGAGTAGGAACACACTTGGAAACAAAGGGATCCAAAGCCATTATCAAGTCTGTATGTTTCTCACAGAGTAGAAACAACATTAAATTTTTTTTTTAATTACTTAATGTTGATTCATTTTTAAGAGGGAGAGAGCATGAGCGTGCACAAGCAAGGGAGAGGCAGAAAGAGGGGGGGACAGAGGATCCCAAACAGGCTCTGCATCTACAGGAGAGAGCCTGATGTGGGGCTTGAACTCATGGACCATGAGATCATGACTGGAGCCGAAATTAAAGTTGGACACTTAACCAACTGAGCCACCAAGGCGTCCTGAAACAACTTTCTTCATTGAAATGTTCTTTGCCCTCACCACCACCCGCAGGATAGCTACAAAGAACTAACCCAAGATGGACATGCTAATATGAAATCTGAGTTTTCAAATCTAAAGGGAAGACATTTAAAAAAGTGTAATGAAGGGCGCCTGGGTGGCTCAGTCGGTTAAGCATCTGACTTCGGCTCAGGTCATGATCTCATGGTTCGTGGGTTTGAGCCCCGTGTCAGGCTCTGTGCTGACAGCTAGCTCAGAGCCTGGACCCTGTTTCGGATTCTGTGTCTCCCTCTCTCTCTGACCCTCCTCTGTTCACGCTGTTTCTCTCTCTCAGAAGTAAATAAAACTTGAAAAAAAAAGTATAATGAGGCTGAAATGAAGTTAAGGGTAGTATATGAATTTAGTAATATTCTTTAAGGAAAAAAAATCAAAGAAATCTTCAAGTACCCTGTCCAAATGAAGCAGAAATAAGAAGCACTTTAGACTCTTGAATCTCACTTGGAATCCCATGCTAACTTTTTAGCACATGATAATATATATATTCCATGACTATTTTTTACACTATGTTAGATTTTGGGTGAAAATAACAACGAATCCTTAAATTTGATACAATACTATAAAATGAGGAGTGCCTGGGTGGCTCAGTTGGTTAAGCATTGGACTCTTGATTTTGACTCAGGTCATGATCTCACAGTCTGTAAGTTAGAGCGCTGTACTGGGATCTGTGCTAACAGCATGGAGCCTACTTGGGATTCTCTCTTCCCCTCTCTCTTCCCCTCCCCTGCTCACGCTCTCTTTCTCTCTCAAAAATAGAAACAAACAAACAATACTATAAAATACTTTAAAAAAATTTGATACAAGTATAAAATTCAAAAATAAATAGCCAAGTTTTTATTTGCTTACATGCACCAAGTTTTATTTGCTTTTAAATCAGACAGAACAAGCACATTATTCAAAATAGTAAATTTTCTTGAATTTTACAGAAGAGAAACTGAAGTGAAACTGTAGGAATTGCTGAACTTCAGATAAATGTTTCTTCAAAACAAGAGATATTAGTTCCTAAAAGATTCCTCTAAAGTTAAAAAAAGATTAAGAAGAACTTTAAGCCACAGGGTTATTACATTTTTAAAAAACTACAAGCTTCTTAATGGACATATGTTTACATTTACAGAGAGTAAACTTAGTCTCCTGTCTCATAAAACTCAGACAACACGACTAAGCAAACAATAAACTAAGCAAAACAATAAAAACTGTTTTTATTATTAAAAAACTTTAAAACCTAAATCTACCTTAATATTTTATCTTCCAAGAAAACTTAATAGGGAATGGCTAATCTGAAAGCAAAACGTACAAATCACTTTCAAGAAAAGGAATACATTATGGGATTATGCTTATATCTAGTAGCATCAACTAAAACCTCAAACGATGTCACATGAATTCAGAGTATCAGCCGGTCCTCTCCTCCCTCCTGAATTACCTGACCAATGGAAGTTTGGCTTTGTTGTTTCAGAAAGCACTGTTTCTTACATTCCATCAACTGTTCAAAATCACGCCACATTTTTGCTTGTTTCATATTTGGACCATGACTTTCTCGTACAGCCTTCTGTTTTTCTCGGAGTTTCTATCATTAAAAAAAAATAGTTAAATCTCAGTTACAGCGATTTACTTCCATTGCTATGGTCTGCTTTGAACATAGAATAAGAACAGTTAACTAAAAATCAGGTTTTCGTGAGATGAATGAAAACTAAGATGATAAAAGTTAATTAAATTTATGATAGACGTAGGAGAGCTTGAAGATAAAAAGAATATGAAAATATAAAAGGGGGGGCACCTGGCTGGCTCAGTTGGTTAAGTGAGATCAGGTCATGATCTCATGATTCGTGGGTTTGAGCCCCACATTGGGCTCTGTGCTGACAGCTTAGAGCCTGGAGCCTGCTTCAGATTCTGTGTCTTCTTCTCTCTCTCTGCCTCTCCCTGGCTTGTGCCCTCTCTTTCAAAAATAAATACATAAACATTTAAAAAATTCAAAACAGAACAACCATATCATCCAACTATTCCCCTAAAAAAAAGGAAAGAAGAAGAAAAGGCAGTGAGGGAATAAAGGGAATCATGAAAGTGGAAAATGGAACAGTATCATGGTGTAAAAAAAAAAGAGTGCATATTTTGAAAGTCGGAAGACTTTGGTATATAACTTGGCTTGGTAACTAGCTCTAAGTAAGACAATTTTTCTGGACTTCAGTTTTCTCAATTGTCAATTAAGGCTAATAATAGAGGATAATTATAAAATTATCTCCCTTATAAGATTATCTTTTCATAAGACGCAGTAGATCTGGAAATACTTGATAAACTATCATGTGTTATATGTTATTATTATTAAATATTCTATTCTTTCCTGGATCTGTGTATGCTCTGTGTATACCCAAATAAATCAATTGTATGCATATATTCCTCAGGGGGAAAGTTTTGTAATTTTTTAAAAAAGTATACTATTAAATAGGCCCAAACCCTTACCAGATTTATTTTTGTTACTAATAGCCTATATGATTCCATCTGTCAAAACTGTTCTACTCACAGACTCTAACATTATAAACAAGAATAAGAAAAGCTTTCAATAAGTTGTAAAAATATATTTTGGTTCTATATTATGGCAAATTCAGAAAGGGTGACTGAAAGGAGGCTTAGCAGAAAGTCAGAGACAATGAGAGGAAGAAAGGAAGAGGGGAAGGATGGAAAGCAAGTAAGCAGAGGAAAACAGAGAAGATGAGAGCGCACACACCAGGAAACAGTGTACACTGTGACACTGAATGTGAGATATCACTAAGGACAGAAAAATAAACAAAGGTTCAGAAATAGGTAACAAAGGATGGTCCCTATTCTTTCCTCCCTTGATGTATGGTTGATCTAATAGTTGATGCAAGGACACAAATGAGAAGGCTGGTCATTGGTACTTGCACCAATAAGAGGCTAAACTAAGCTAGGACTAGATTCAAAACACTTGACTGAAAACTGTCCTCCACAGCTATTGCTAATGAAAGCAAAATTAACAGCAAATAGCAACAGGAAACAAAGCAGAATTAAGAAAATATAATTTAAATATAACCAGCAAATTTTTGACACAATACCTGGCATGCAAATACATCTATTTAAGTCTATGTTACAACAACAACAAAAAAATAGAGGCAAACCAAGAAACAGACTCTTAACTATCGAGAACACACTGATGGTTCCCAGAAGGGAGGTGGGTGGGTGAGGATGGGTTAAATAGTTGATGTGATGAGGATTAAGGATGCACTTATTGTGATGAGCATTGGGTGTAATACGGAAGTGCTGAATCACTATACTGTATACCTGAAACTAATATTACACTGTATGTTAATTAACTGGAATTTAAATAAAAACTTAAAACAAAGTATCTTACAACAAATATTTTTATCTTAATGAAGTAAAACAAAAGTAGTTAAGTCAGATCTAGAATTTTAAGAGTTTTTAGAATGACTTTAAGAGAAAGGTACTACCTAACTATAAATTTTCTTATATTATTGAAGTGAAATTTTCTTATATTATTGAAATAGTTTCCTTGTCAAAAATCCTAACAACCTATAAAAGTTAAAGAACCAAAGACAGGATGTGGGCATTGTCTGTGTCAGAAATATTAAATTTAATGTGTTTCATAACCATGTGTGTTTGAAACCTGTAACTTTATGAATATAACTGCCTTAGTATATAATTTATTTTTAATGTTACTGCCACTTAATACAGATTTATTTTGTTGATAGTTATAATGAACAAAAAATACTTATCACAAATTCCATTGTTGTTTAAAGGGGAGGTGGTATAGTGGGGGTGAGTTATAACTTTCAGTACAGTATTCCACAGTACTTGGTAAGGCAAATTCTAGTATATGATCATGTGCATTTTAGCACTATGATAGGTTGGATTAATTCCATAAACTCAGTTGGACTTGGAGGTCTGTGGATGTTCAGTCTATGCTGGTTGGGAAGGCTTCGGCTATCATCACATTGAAAGTCTAGATTTATTCAGTATTTACCTTCAAATTTAAGTCTACTCTAGGAATGAGGGGATTGAGGAACTTTTGGGGGATGAGCTAATCAATGGCTCTTTTTGCTGAAATATACTTGTCAGACTGCTATTATCACTTTTTGTAAAGATTCTTCAGTAAAACACTACACTGGAAGGGCAAAGAATAATCTTTATTCTGATGTAGCAATTACATTTGGGTCTTTGAAAGAATTCAGGTTTGATAAAAATTTCTGTACACAAAGCATCCATCCACATACTTTTTAAAACACAAGAAATTGAGGAATGTTTTCATATGAATAAATATATTACCTAAGATATGAAGTGTTTGGGTGAAAGCAAGTTACTGACAATCATACTAAATCCTAAAACCCCTGAATCTCTAGTGAATGTTTAAAACTTGATTCAAATATATGTTTTCAAATATGAAATTATTTCTTTTTTCCTTTTCGAGTATGGGATGTCATCCCATAAAGGGAAGAAGATGTACAGAACTCACAATTTCTCTGATGGAATGGAGGAATCAGCTTAAGCTTTCCTTTCTTTTTTTTAATTTACATTAATATGAGGGGCATTTATTCACCAATCATACAGAAAGAACAGATGAACACTTTTTAGAAAAATAGACAATTCCAGCTTTGGAATTGGAAAAGTCCAGGATGAGCCTGGCACATTTTGTCATACCAGAAAAGAAGCCATCAAAATCTAGCAGCATTGTTTCAAAAGGATTCAGGAGCTGACTTCAAGAGGTGCCTATTGGCTTAACATGGGGGCAATTTGAGCACTGACAGGAATAATAATTATAATAGATCAAAATATCTCCAATAAGTTAAATCTAGGAGTCATAAAGGTACTTGCCAAGGATAAGAAACAAAAACACCTCATCAGTTTGAAAACCAGTAAATAAGCAAATCAAGCAGTTATTCTGCCTTTCTTATATGGGCTGTATCTTAGGGTAACTAAATAGTTGATAAGGAGTTGCTCTTTACAGAATTATTCCATCCAACAAATGAAGAAGGAATAACATAATTAGAATGCCATCATTTTGCAACCTCTGATGAATTAATGGGTCTCAGAAGTTATTTCATTGGCTGCCTATATTACACAAACAGAGCCTCCTCAAAGAATACATACTCCTACCTATAAAGTGTACTTACCAAATATTGAATTCCTCTAGGTCTAACTACCAATCCACACTACATACTGGGCACAGAAGAACATGCTAGTTGACACCATAGGGATGTCATCAGCAAAGTTCAGCATGTTGGAAACCCGTTAGGACAAATAAGTAGGTTTTCTTTTCCTTAAATTTTCCAACAAATATATTTTAAAGAAAGATGAAAGAATAACCTACAGGAAGAGACTTAAGAGCTATATCAACTAATAGCACTGTATGAATTCTTTTAATGTTTTTTTTTTTTTTTTTTTTTTTTTTTTTTTTTTTTNAGGGAGTCACAGACTGAAACAGGCTCCAGGCTCTGAGCTGGCAGTCAGCACAGAGCCCGACGCGGGGCTCGAACCCACGAACCGCGAGATCATGACCTAAGCGAAAGTCGGACGCTTAACCGACTAAGCCACCCAGGCGCCCCAGCACTGTATGAATTCTTATTAGGATCCTGATTCAAACAAATAAACAATAAGAAATGATGAGACAATTGGTGAAGGTACAACTGGTGAAATAAAGATCTTAAAAAAAAAGAGAAAAGAATGAAAGAGCCGGTGTCTTTAAAATGACTGTTCAGGAGCACCTCAGTGGCTCAGTCAGTTGAGCGTCTGACTTCAGCTCAGGTCATCTCACTCACGGATTTGAGCTCCCCATCGGGCTCTGTGCTGACAGCTCAGAGCCTGGAGTCTGCTTTGGATTCTGTGTCTCCCTCTCTCTCTGCCCTTCCCCTGCTCACACTCTGTCTCTCTGTCTCTCTCTCAAAATAAATAAACATTAAAAAAATTTAAAAAACAACAAAGTGCTTTCTAAAATAAAATAAAATAAAATAAAATAAAATAAAATAAAATAAAATATCCAAATGTGTTGCTTTATGAAGTCAATTCGAAAAATCAGTGAATTAGTCATTTAAGTCCCAATGGTCAAGGTCTTTACTAGCCATCACTTCTTCTACTAGGAGTGGCTCAGAAAACTAAGAAAACAAGACTCAATCACATATTACTACATTCATAAAAATGGCAGGGAGGGAGCTGAATATGACAAGTAAGGATTTTTGATTATTTATGTCAAATGAATCAATATTTGTAAAGGACAAAGACCAGTGCCTGGATCATTGTAATGAGCTTTGTGCTTACTGAATAAAATAAATAAACATATACTTATCTCATGAAGAGATACCTGAGAATTGTAGTTCATTACACATGGCACTTTTGTTTCTTAGAACCTTCTCATAAATTCTTTGTTATTTAAAACTAGATATAAAAATAAATAAATAAAATTAGATTTTTTCCTTCAAAAATCCATGTACCTTCACTTTTGTATACACACACGCATAAATTCCTAAGGAAGAATCTTCATCTTTGTAAGAAATTAAGAAAGATCCAATTTCTCTTTGAAAACTGTACCATAACCTTTTAAAAAGAATGACAGTGTCAAAACCATGTAGTGAAAGCCTGAATTAGATACACTTAAAAAAATAAATAATACATTCTTACCTTTCCAAGGTTTTCCTGTTCGGCAATATTTTTTGTATACTGCTCCCTAAGGAATCAACATAATGATTTCGTTTCAATTTATTTCAATTGATTTGATCATACAACTAAATTATAAATTAGCATATCTATCTAAATGTATTAGACAGAGGAGTCAGAGTGAAGCCAAATACTCTCTTTCACCATCTTTTGTCAGTTCTTCTAGTAAATAGTATTTATGGGGAAAAAAACCATAGAACACCACATAAGAAGTTAAGAGAATCAAAATGTTAAGTACTATTTCTGTACTTAGGTACCATTTTACACTTAAAACAATGGCAACCCATCTGCCTAAGTCATAATTTTTAAAAGCTTTTATTTAAGTAATCTTTACATAAAACGTGCGGTTCAAACTCATAACCCTGAAATCAAGAGTTGCCTGCTCTACTGACTGAGCCAGCCAGGCGCACCAGTCACACTTTATTTTTGAAGAGGTTGTAGAAAGGAGAAAGGATACACATTTTAAATAAACATTAACGTCTAATCCTACAATTCTACTTCTGGGAAGTCATCCTACAAAAAAACCTCTCATAACTTAAGAAAGATAAATGTAAAGACTATTTACATCACCATTACTTATAACAGTAAAAACCTGAAAACAAATTAAATGTCAATAGATGGGGAAATTTTTAATAAATTATGGCACATCCATTCAAAGGAATAATAGAGAGTTGGAAAAAGGAAGGGGTAGATCTATAAGTGCTGAAGTGGAAATAACTCTAGATATAAAATTAAGAGAAAAACTGTATCTTAAGTTCAACCTTATTTTTGTCACACACACATAAAATTTCCCCATACATTTGCTAACACACATACACGTGTGCATGTGCATGCATGAGCGTGAGCACACACACACACATACACACACAAAAATGCAGGGGAAAGAATATGGAGTAATTATACACCAAAATATTAATGGTAGGTATTTCTGAGGCATGGCAATGTGGATAATTTTCAGTTTTTGTGTACCATACTTCATAATGCTTACTTTTATTTTTATAAGCATTTCTTTTATAAGCTAAAAATGCCTGTCATTTTCAAGTAAAAATAAAATACAAATAACATTGTATTGTGTTTTTAAAAATATAAAAGTATAATTATATTTTTACACCTCATAAGATGAAAAGTGATATTTGAAGTATTAAGGACAACGATGGAAGATGAGGACAAAGGAACCAATGACAAGATAAAAAGAGACTTCAGACCTCAAATTTAGACAGAAAAAGACTATGTTTCTATATAAAGTTATGCTGTAGTAAGAAGTTAAACAACACAAAACTGGGAATCCAGGAAATCATAAACCACAAAGAGAAATTCTAGCAGCTTAAGTGAAGAAGATTTGCATTCATGCAACAAGGGAAGTAAACGTAGCTAGAGTGGAGAGGATGGCCTTCACAAGTACTCAGAATCCTCAGGGTGCCTGGGTGGCCTAGTCCGTTAAGCCTCCGACTCTTATATTTATATATTATATAATACCTGTTACATAAAATATACTTTTATATATAATAAAAAACATATAAGTAAAAAATATATTTTAAAGATTTTATTTTAGAGAAAAAGCATGAGTGGGGAAGAGGAGCAAAGTGGGGGGAGAGAGAGAGAGAGACAGAGACAGAGAGAGAGAGAGGGAGAGAGAGAGGTGGGGGGGCAGGAGGAGGAATCCCAAGCAGGCCCCACACTCAGTGCAAAGCCTGACGCAGGGCTCTATCCCATAATGACCCTGGGACCATGACCTGAGCTGAAATCAAGAGTCGGATGCTCAACCAACAGAGCCAGCCAGGTGTCCCACAGAATGCCATTTATATTCTATCAAGAAATCAAAGTCTCATGCTCTTTTACCACATAACACTAATATGTAATTATTTTCATTTATTCAATGAATTTATTCAAGAAATTATTATGGAGCACCTGTTATGTACCAAGCATGCCCTGGGGTTTCAGGAAGAAAACAGAACAGAGTCTTTGTCCTTCAGTAACTCATGCTATATAATTTCCAAAATACTGCTGCATGCATTATATTTAACTTGATCTTCTGTGGTATAAATTGTTCTCCCAATTGTATAGATGAGGAAATGATATGCCCAAAGTCACAAAACTTGAAACTAGAAAAACCAGGTTAGTAAGAAAATTTTATGAGTTCCTCTTCAGTACTTTGAAATAAAACATGCTGCCTCTTTAAATAAAATTAAAATTTGCAGGCCATCTTTCAAAACCATGCTAATTTCTCTGGGTGCCTGGGTGATTTTAGTCGGTTAAGCATATGACTCTTGGTTTTGGCTCAGGTCATGATCTAAAGGTTTCATGGGTTCAAGCCCCACATCCGGCTCTGCACTGACAGTGAGGAGCCTGCCTGGGATTCTCTGTCTCCCTCTCTCTCTCCCACTCCCCCACGCACACTGTCTCTCTCTCTCTCCCAAAATAAATAAACTTAAAAAAAAAACCCATGCTAATTTCTTAGACCACTGGCCTTACTCAAAAGTATCATAAAAGTAGAAAATGGGGCAACCCATTTTGTCCATAATTGTATAAAACTGTGTCTATAATAATAATAATAATAATTTAAACATATATCAATGAGTTTAGAGTACAATTAACACTATTTTATTTTTAATATTCTTATGTACTACTCTCGTTAGGGCAAAATATTTTTTCTATGATGGTAAAGGTTTATGATAATTTTGAAAATGGCAAAAAAGAAAATCTGGCCAGAAAACTAATAGTTCAGTGGCAATATTTCCTATTTCCTATTTATATTGATAACTTTGGGAAAAATGAAACTTAATTTTTAAAAGTCTTTTTTCAAGAATAGAAACCTCTCACATTTGTAAAATATTAACATTGACCATACAGATTTATTTGAGCCAAGTTTACTCAATGAAAGAATGTAAATAAGTACATTAAAATTTTTTTTAATGTTTATTTCTGAGAGAGAGAGAGAGAGAGAGACAGCGTGAGCAGGGGAGTGTCAGAGAGAGAGGGAGACACAGAATCTGAAACAGGGTCCAGTCTCTGAGCTGGATGTCAGCACAGAGTCCGATGCAGGGCTTGAACCCACAAACCGTGAAATCATGACCTGAGCCGAAGTTGGACGCTTAACCGGCTGAGCCACCCAGGCGCCCCAATAAGTACATTTAATATGTGTAATATGTCAGAGTATTAGAGAAAACATTGCTCTATTTATAGGGTGTTTTCAGTGTGGCTTGCATTCCAGTGCATTATATATTTAAAAAATTAGATTCTGCAAGACATTCCATTTATTAGATTCCTTTTTGAAAAATTAATGTATATGCCACTAAAAATCTCAACTGCAATCTAGGATAAAGTGAATCCTATACTTGGAGTTCTTACTTGATGGTAAAAGGGAAACATGTGAATGTGGTAAGGTTCAAAGAGAGCTTAGCTTGTTCAATAACTGCATTTTATCACAGCTAGCAATTAAACCATAAATGTATTTTTTTAAGGCAGTATTTGATTTATTACAGAATGCTGCAAGCTGGGAATACCAAAAAAATCACCATATAAGGACTAGTGATATTTACACACTCTTCCTCATCCTGAGGCTGGCACACTGCGGACACACAGCTTCTAGCTGAAAAACACTCACACTGCACAGTGAGCAGGCAAATGACAAGAGTCCAGGCCATGTGGGACTTTAAAAATAGACCAATTTGAGTGCTTATAAAAAAGGAACTATGAAATTATATGTATTCCTGGGGAGGGGAATGGGGAGTTACTGTTTACTGATGACAAGAGTTTCTGTTGAGAGTGATGAAAAGGTTAGGTATTATAGAGCAGTGACGGCTGCATAGCACAGTGAATGTGATCAATGCAACTGAACTATACACTTAAAAATGGTAAACATGGCAAGTTTTATGGGTTTTTTAACCATGATAAAAAAAAAAGTAAAAAATCCAGAAAGCAAATTACGGGTATTCCTACTTAGTAGGGCTGGATTATTAGGAAGATATTTAACAAGATTTAATCCTAAATAATACCTTAGTATCTGCTTATTTAAGTACCCCCAATTTAGTAATTCCATTTTATTTATAAAACTTCCATAAGTGACATAAAAAAGAATGAAACCTTGCCATTTTCAACAACATGGATGGAGCTGGAGAGTACAATGCCAAGTGCAATAAGTCAGTCAGAGAAAGACAAACACCATATAATTTCACTCATATGTGGAATTTAAGAAACAAAACAAATGAACAAAGGAAAAAAGAGAGAGAGAGAAACCAAGAAATAGACACTTAACGCTAGAGAACAAACTCCTAGAGACGAGGTGGGGGAGGAGGGGGGAAAACAGGTGATGGGGATTAGGAGCACAATTATCATGATGAGAACTGAGTAGTGTATGGAATTGCTGAATCACTATATTGTACACCTGAAACTAATATAACACTGTATGAGAACTACACTGTAATTTAAATACAAAATTTAGTAAAATTAAAAAGAAATTTCTATAGGTGAAAACATTAAGTGACTCAACACAGAGACAACAAAATTACTTGCCTTATTGCCTTTCTTTTTTCTTGTTGATCAGAAGAGACATATGCCTTCATCTCATCAGTAGCACGACGAAGTTGTACTTCTAGGTTCTAAGTGGAAAGACTAAGTTTTAGGTTAAGTCCTTGATACAGAAAAATCTCAGAAAAGTTCTTGATCCTCTTTCTTTGTTTTACCTTAATCATACAATTTGTGTAATGATATCTACTTTCTTCCTGAAGACATTCTTCACGGAGTCCTCTGACTTCCTACAATATATAATTTTAAATGGGCAACATTATTGAAAGAATAATCAAATACAGAGAGGATGACTTTAACCGTATAATAAAATACCATCAGAGTAATTTATTTTTTTGTGATTATAACCATAATAGGCTAGGCTGCAATCTTTTCTAGAGACTACTCATATTACTCCAAAACCTACAGGTTCAGTTATTCATTTATTAGGTCTCTACCGCATGACCAACTCTGTGCTAGGTGCTGGGGACACAACAGTGAATAAGACTATAGTCCTTGCTCTCATTCAAATAGAGGAAATAGGCATAAACAAGGAGTCAGGTAATGAAGGTGGTTTCAGATGGGGATATATTCTATGAAGAAAAGTCAGTAGTAGTAGAATGTGACAGGGTGACCCAACGGGCAACATTAGGTAGGGTAATGAGAGAAGACCTCTAGGAGGAGGTGACATTTAGGCTGAGACCTGATGATGAACAGGAGAGATCAAGGTAAAGAATTGGAGGCAGAGTGTCCCAAAGAGAGAACAGCAAAAGCAAAAGCCATGAGGTGAAAACAAGCTTAGCCTGTTTGACATGCAAGAAGAAGGCCAGTGTGGCTGTGGCCCTGTGGATGAAGAGAACAGCACATGGACATGAAGTTCACGAGGCAGGTGGGCCTTGCAGAACATAGCTTGGAAGTCAGATTTTAAGTGCAGTAGGAAGCTAGTAGAGGGTGGCCTAAGTTTTCCACAGGTTTCTTTGGCTTCTCTATAGAGAAAAAACCTTAGGATTTTTCTTAAGGATGGAAGTGAGAAAGCAGTGTTGAGTTACTGTGGGAGTTGAGGAGACACCTGCTCAGGGCCTGGACCTTGGTGGTTGTGGTACAGATGAAGAATTCAGTGTGTATGCATCAAGTCTGAAGAAATAAAGATCTCTGGAGTTTAGGAGACAGGCTCAGAGGATGAGGGTAAAGATTTGGGAATCTTTTGATGTCAGTGTAGTGAAAACATGCATACACAGGCAGTTTCTACTAAATTGTTAAAAAATAAAAACTATCTTCTTACCTGTTCTAATTTGGACCGGTTGCTTTCGAGGCCTGCTGCACAGCTATCATACTGAGATTTCTTTTCATCACATTCCTGGGTTAGTTCCTAGTAGGAAAAGATAAATGACTGCATAAGTGAAAAACAAAGGCCTAAAGTGTGGCTCTAAAACAATGCATGCCCTTGTCAGTCTTGTAACTTAACTCTAAGCTTCTTGGCATACTTAAGAGTTATTTATACAACAATCAGACATTTGAGAATTATGACAGATGAAGGTGCTGATAAAAATAATAGCTACCATGTATTGAGCTGTGTGCCAGGCTCTTTATTAGGAGCTGGGATACAACAGTGAGCAAAACAGCCAAAATCCTTCCCCTAAAGTATGTTCAGACAAGTAAACAGCCTGTTGAGTGGTATGATGGGCAAATGTAAGTGTTATAGGAGAACGAGGTACTCTCACAGGACTTAACCCAGGCTTGGAGATCGGCAGAGATAGAGAAACTGATATCCAAGTTGAGGGATAAAGGATTAGTACAATAGTTAGGGGGAAGGTGAACAAGGGAGGAGAATGTTCAGAAAAAAAGAACACTATGTATAAAGGCTTGGAAGCCAGAGAGAAGAGCAATAATTTAGGACAAACAAGTAGTTTATTACACTGGAGTATGTCTGCAAAGTGCGAGAAGATGCTGTAGGCTTTGGCAGGGGCTTGGTCAGAACTTTGGAAACCATGGTAGGGCCTTTGAACTTTACCCTTGTCAGTAACTCAATCTCACCACAACCCCTTTAGGTAGGTATTAATATCCCCATATCATGCTTGGAGAAAGTTCATGGAAGCCAAATACTTTGCCAAAGATTATACTGAAGAAAAGGGGTGTCAGAATTTGAATTTAGGCTGTTTGAGTAGCTTTAAACTTTCTTCTAATGTAATATTGTGGATTAGATAACCTGAAAATCATCTATAAATACTGGAAATGCTAAAAATATCTACAAATGCTTGATAAGGTGGAGCAAACATCTTTTCAAATCCAGAGCTGAAATGAACTTCTCAGGAAGGAAGAGGAATTACCAGGGCCAGAAACAGAGGGTGACACACTGTGGCTGCCCTTGGGGAAGGAAGCTGGGAGCAGTCAGTCTCAGTACTGGAGTGATTCTAATGTTCAGGCAGGGCAGAAGACAGAGTGGGAAGTTAGAACTGAGAAGCCCACAGAATCCTTGCTGTTTTTCAACCTGGAAGCCTGGGTGTAAAGGGTTACTACCAGGCCTGGACTGAAGCACCAGCCTCAGAATGACCTTGGTTTCATGAAGCAGTTTCCTGGGGAACAGGAGAGTGAACACAAATGGGTAATGCTGTATGTGCTTCCTTTGTTGTGTGGGGCTGCGTCTGGTTTGGGGTGACCAGCATAGTATAAAAGCTGGTGGGGTGCTTGCTGTGGCAGCACATACACTAAAAATTGGAATAATACAGAGAAGATTAGCATTGCTTTTCTGTGCAAGGATGACCTGCAAATTCGTGAAGCATCTCATATTTAAAACCAACCAACCAACCAACCAACCAACCAGCCAACCAACCAACCAACCAACCTGGTAGGTGCTGTCTCTGGGCCCAGCCCTAGTTTGTGGTAACATGGCTAAATGCACCAAGAAGGTCAGAAGGTCAGAATCATATGTAAATATGGAACCCGTTATGGTGCCTCCTTAAGGAAAATGAAGAAAATTGAAATAGGCCAGCATGTCAAGTACACTGGCTCCTATGTGGTAAAATCAAGATGAAAAGACGAGCTGTGGGGATGGGGCACTGTGGTTCCGGCATGAAAATGGTAGCTGGTGGGGGCCAGACTGAAACACCACTTCTGCCATCACAGTAACATCTGAAGGAACTGAATGACCAATAGAAGCTCTACCATTTCAGGCAGAAGACATGAACAGACACTTCTCCAAAGAAGATATCTAGATGGCCAATAGACACATGGAACGATGTCAGCGTCCCTCATCATCAGGGAAATGCAGATCAAAACCACACTGAGATACCACCTCACGCCGGTCAGAGTGGCTAAAATGAACAACTCAGGAGACTATAGATGCTGGCGAGGATGTGGAGAAATGGGCACCTTCCTATACTGTTGGTGGGAATGTAAACTGGTGCAGCCCCTCTGGAAAACAGTGTGAAGGATCCTCAAAAAATTAACAATAACAGACCCCTAGAACCCAGCAATAGCACTGCTGAGAATTTACCCAAGGGATACAGGAGTGCTGATGCATAGGGGCACATGTACTCCAATGTTTATAGCAGCACTTTCAACAATAGCCAAATCATGGAAAGAGCCTAAATGTCCATCAACTGATGAATGGATCAAGAAGATGTGGCTTATCTATACAATGGAATATTACATGGCAATGAGAAAGAATGAAATCTGGCCATGTGTAGCAACAAGGATGGAACTCGAGGGTGTTATGCTGAGCAAAATAAGTCAGGCAGAGAAAGACAGATACCATATGTTTTCACTTATAGGTGGATTAGGAGAAACTTAATGGCGGACATGGGGGAGGAGAAGGGGAAAAATAGTTGGGGAGAGGGAGGGAGGCAAACCATGAAAGACTCTTGAATACTGAGAACAAACTGAGGGCTGATAGGAGAGGGAGAGAGGGGAAGGCGGGGGGAGATGGGCACGGAGGAGGGCACTTGTTGGGAGGATCACTGGGTGTTATATGGAAACCAACTTGACAATAAACCATGAAAGAAAAAAAAAAGAAGCTCTACCATTTCAAACATTACTAGCCTATAATAAATGGGTTAACTTCTGCATCAAAATTACTTTGGCTTGTTGTTACATTTATTAATTAGACATTCTGATTTTCATTGCATTAACTGTCCTTTCTCAAAAAACACTTGAAAGCTAAAATCCTTTTAATTTTTACTGGAAAAAAGAAACTGGTTGTAAAAAGGAGCTGTGGCTTTTATGTATCAGAAGGACCTACAGATATTTGAGACTCTCATGGGTGACAGTCATTTCCACCATAAATGGGAGGAGGGGCAACAGCAGCTGTAGCGGCTGGGTCTCTCAGTGAGATGAAGGTGCTATAGCAGATGGTAGTGTGTGTGAGCACATCTGTGGCCTGTGAGTCTGGTGGCCTAACTGACCTGAAAATGCACCTGTGCTGCTACGGGGGCAGCTGGAGAGAAGGGCTCATCGTTGGGCAGATTCACTCATATTTACCCTTACCCACACGAACTCCCGAGCCAAGACATTAACTCAAAATTAGCTCTGAGCTTGTCATATTCCCAAAACACCCAGCAGGGCCAACTGCAAAGCCATTCTGGAGGACACATGCTCCATCCTAACTGCTGGAATTCAAAAGACAAAACCCTACCAAAGATACCCTCACAATCCAAAAGTATAAATACACAAGGAAACAATCAATCCTTATGTGTGAGGATCAGAAGATTAAAAAAAACAGCAGGACTACACCTCCAGGTACTTAGGATACTAGAAACAAGTCTATTAAGCAAGTCTTTGTGCTTGAAACAAAGTCATAAAAGAGGAATTGAAAACAAAAGATTAAGAAAAAAAGTACAGTGAGTAAAAATAGACAAAAGTGAAAAAATAGTCATTAAAGTTAAAAATTAAATGGTATAAATGTAAGATTAGACACAGCTCAGAAGATAAAAAGAATGAACTCAAAACAGAGCTGAAGAAATTATTTAAAATTCATCACCGAGAGACAAAAAAGACAAAAATATGAAGACAAAGACATGCAATGGGGGAAAGACACCCCCTGTCATCCCCACAGGGACTTAAGTGTGCCTAACATGCAAATAATAGCAGTCACTGGAGAATGAACTAAAAAGAACAGGGCAGAAATATTTGAAGATATCATGGAGAATTCTCCTAGAATTAATGGAAGACAACACAAACGCCAGGAGAGCAAATAAAACTAAATACGTATTTAGATCACAGTAGTGAAATTGGAAAACACCAAAGACAAAGATAAAAATATTACAACCAATTATAAGAAAGATATTACCTAAAAAGAAATGATAATTAAACTGATGGCAGACCTTCCAACATAAGAGAAACCAGAAAGCAATGAACAAGTTATTATTAAAGAAAGAAAAAGGTGATTGACTCATAGTGATGATTCTTTACTGAGAGAACTACTAAAAGAAAAAACAAAGCAAGGAAATTTAATTTCAGGAAGAAAGAAACTGAATCCAAAAGGAAGAATGAAAATATAAGAAACAACAATGAGAAGTGTTAAATATGTGGTTAAATCTAAGGAGGAAATGACTGTATAAAATAGCTAGTAATTATAAGTAATGACCACCATGACAACTACTTTTAGAGGTGAAGAAATAGGGGTTCCTGGGTGGTTCAGTCGGTTAAGCATCCGACTCTTGCTCTCGGCTCAGGGCTTGATCTCAAGGTCATGAGTTCAAGCCCCCTGTTGGACTCTACGCTGGGTGTGGAGCCTATTAAAAAAAAAAAAAGAGAGAGAGAGAGAGTGAGAGATGAAATAAAAAGGAAATAAACTACCAGAGGATAACCACACATATGTAAGGCAAGAGAGGGTGTTAAACTATTCTAAGGTCCCTGTATTGTTCAGGAGATGCTGATTAGATTTAGAATCTGTTGTCATGAAAATATACGTTAAAAATTTAAGGATAACAATATCAGAATAGAAGATAGAAAACTAAATAAAGGGAACAAAGAAGATAAAAGAACAAAGAGTGATGCAATGGAGGGCAGGAAAGAAGCAGCAAAGAAAAAGCACAGTAAACAGGATGTACAAAATAGAAATAAATCCCAATGTATCAATACTAAAAGTAAATGGGATTAAAAACACCAATTAAACGACAGATTCTCAAACTGAATGAAGAAACCACCCACATAAGATCTAACTATATGCTATTTATGAGACATATGACAAAAGTAAGGACATAGAAAGCTAAAAGAAAACAGAAAAAAAAAGATATACCAAGCAAGCCTAATCATAAGAAAGAAAGCTAGCATACTTACATTAATAGCAAACAAAATAAAAATCTTGGACCAAAAGCATTAGCAGGAATAAAGACGATAAAAAATAATAAAATGAGTAACTAACCAGGAATG